TAAAGTGTTCAATATCTCATGTAAATTATTGAAGACTGTACTGAAAGTGAAAAGCAGAACGGTTGTCTGGGTGCAGAATAGCTATGAGTGTATAAGTGGTTTCCCCTGAGCCTGCCCTCACCTGGTGCTGCCCTCTCTTGGGCCTGCCCTCTCCTGAGCCTGACTTCTCCTGGACCTGATGTCATGTGGGCCAGTACTCTCCTGGGACTGCACACTCCTGTGAATACTGTCTCCTGGGCCAGCCCTGTCCTGGGCCTCCCCTCACCTGGTCCTATGCTCTCCAGGGCCAGCCCTAACCTGGGCCTCCCCTCACCTGGAACTGTCCTCTCCAGGGCCAGTCCTAACCTAGGCCTGGCCTCTCCTGTGCCTGACCTTCCCTGGGCTTCTCCTCATCTGGTCCTGCCCTTTCCTTGGCCTGCTCTCACTTGGGCCTGCCCTCTCCTGAGCCTGCCACCTCCTGGGCCAGCCCTATCCTGGGCCTCCCCTCACCTGGAACTGTCCTCTCCAGGGCTAGCCCTAACCTGGGAACAAATATCAAGGCTAGATGGACGTAATGAACTTGTTTTTGAGACTCCTAAGTGGGATGATGTCTTCTGCTGAATGTCTGGTTTATTAAAGAAGCCTGAACCCACCTGAGAACCATTATTTTTAGTGCAGAGAAGAGAGCCACAGAACACACACTTGATCTCCCACTGCTGGAAGGTTAGGGGCTGCTGAGAAGTCAAAGCAGCAGGCTTTGTACATAGGGAGCGAATACAATCCTGATCGTCTCTCCCAGATCCATCTGTGAGTCAATAATTACTTCAATATAACTGCCAAATACAACCTTCATCTGCTACCCCAATGCCAACACACATTTTAGACGACTCCCTTAAATTAAGTATTATAGGATTTCATCTGCTCTCCTCAGCCCCCAAAGCCTCATAAACAACACACCCAGCTGAGTGTCCCACTGAAAGGTACCACCTCTGTAGCGGGAAGGGTGGGGGTGGTATCAGGGAGCAGAAGGCTGTGGGGGTTGGAAAGTAAGGGGTGTGTGAGGGTGGGGGAGTGTGTGGGGGGAAGGGCTGGGAAGAGGGATTGTGTGGGAAGATAAATAGATCCTGACCAAGGGCCCGAGCCGGTCCACTGGT